CGTCGTGTAAATTAAATCTTACAAGCGCGAAAGTTTGACGATTAACACGTGGGAAAGAGAGGGAAAATTACGTAACTATGATAGAATCGCGTTACTCCGTTTTCGTTCCAGCACCTCGCCATCACTCGCTACTCGCGTTAAAGTCAACATTAAAAGACTTGACAGGACGGGAGCGTGTGCATTGTACAGGTGTTACGCAGGTGACACGATGACGCCAGCGTACGATCGTATACGAGCGTGTTATTCTGGATGATAATAATAAAATAATACGATACGCGAGAGTCGATGAACGCGCATACAACACATAATCACGTCTCGACGTAATACATGCTATGCATACATGTAATTTAAAGATCTGATTGTGAATCCAACGTTTGCGACGTCGCGACGGTAAGCGCGATGTAGGTATGATAATTTAATGATAATTGGAAAATCACTTCTCCAGTCACTTCGACGTCTTTAACGTGAACGATACGCGATTTTTCGACTTTGCGCGATCGGGAAATTAGTCCTCGATCGAAGATATCCCGGAAAACATGTTTCCTCCGATTGGATCGATAATCCAAGGTCATCGGACTAATGTCACCGGAACGTGGCGTTTTGTTCGATTGCGTCCTCGCGATGTGATTCACGCACTTTTGACGCGTCAGCGGTCTATTTACTTTTATTCTAAATTAAATCCTTCCCAGGATTTAACGACAAAACATTTTTTCGCGCGTCCGAATAATCGCGTCTCGTTGTGACACAACATTCTTGCGGCGCATTTTGACAATTGGTAATCTGGAGAAAGTCGTTTTTCAAGTCGTTCGGATCTCTTTGGATTTGACTGAAGGCTATGACACACAAAAAGACTCAATCAGCAAGACATTATAAAGAGTAAGCAAATCGACTTTTGGATTTGCTACAGTTTACGTTTATTGCCTCACGGTTCTTATCGATTAATCGATTTACTTATATTTTACCGATTAAGTTCTTTTTTGTGTGTACTGTAGTCTTAACTCGATCTCGTGGATTTCGCACGAATCTTAAGGCTACAGCACACAACAAAAATTTAAACAGCAAAACGTAAGCGAATCGGCCAATCACAGTAGAGACCAGAAAACAATAACGTAAAGTGGAGATCAATTATGTACTTTGAAATGGAGGTGAAAATTACAAAAGTGAACGAATTTACTAAAATATTTGTAATTTCATTGGTCATCTAATAAATTTACACACTTTTGTAATTGTCATCTCGTTTCAAGGTACATATAAGTAATCGGAGCAGATTCAAAATGTTGATTTGCTTACTGCTTTAATTTTTATATGACACAGTCTTTAATACCAGAACCGCGGTTGTGTGTGCCATTTATGATCCATCTGATGGCTTTTTTTCCAGTTAATTTGAATGAATTTGCACGTGGATTTAGATTTTTGTGATTTTTCACGAATAGTCATAATTAATTACAAGTAATTTTACTTGTATGGTAACAACTCTCCCTCGTAAAAAGTCAGATTTACCTTGAATCGCGATTGGGTTAATTTAGACCTGCGGTTCGCAGGCTATCGTTTGTTTGACATGATTTAACGTTGACGCGAATCGTATGACTTAACGCTCGATAAAAAATACGGACGAAACTCGTGTTAGATTTTTTTTCTACGCGCGACGGTGACGTAAAGCGATTTTCATAGTAAATCATCTTGGACTTTACAATTAATGACGAAATGAAAGTCGGATAGCTACGTTTAGTGCCAAATGTAGCTGGAGCACGAATCTATAGATACTTTCCAATTGGTGACACAAGTCAACATCATTCTATCTTCCTTGACATTCAGCGAATAACAAAGACAAAACGACACTAGTGTCGATTTATATCAAATGGAAAGCATCCATATCGCGCGGTGAGCGTGTCTCAAATCTCGTAAACATCGAATGTCGTTTTGCGACTTGGCGACGATGATCTTCGATCCCGCTTCGCACGGCTGATCACGGCTGTTCCGTCCAAGACTCGATATAAAACAATAACGAGTGGCAACACGAAACGAACGAAAACGGTGGAGCGAAAACTGTATGCCTGTCGCTTCGTTGAGTTCCGCATTCGAACAGAGGCGAGAGTCAATTGCATTTTTCCGTGGAGCGCGTCTTTGGACTCCTTTGATCCCCGAGATGCCACGCGTGACGCGAGGCAAGGCAAAGCGAGGCAAAGGCAAGACGAGGCAAGACAAGGCAAGGCAAAGCGAGGCAAGGCGAGGCGAGGCGAAGTGAAGTGTGGCGAGGCGGGGCGAAGCTCCGTTCGAAGTAAAGCGAAAAGGAACGATGGCAGGGACGCGCGACGCAGGACGTAACCCGCGGCGTCAAGTGGCGCGTCAAACAACGTTAAAGAGCGATAAGATACATACCTCTACGATTAAATGGCCGGACCCTAACGGCAACCTTTATTTTATCCGTAGCCATGACTTTTGCACACCGGTAAACGCGCGCACTCGCTATCACACGATCGCGAAAAACCGTTTAGCACGATTACGCCTGCACGTGATTACGTCTACTCTCGCACGATTTGCACATTATTCTCAACCCATACCGCGAACCTGTCATCTTTCGAACGACACTGCGTCTACTGTCTACACCGAGCCTCCCGTGACACACTTCGCCATATTGCTTAAAGCCCGTCGTCAGCGCTGGACACAGGACAACGACGATCGTCCGGGGCTATCGAGGCTATCGAATGAACGTGTTTCCGAGAATCGCCGTTAGGAACCGCGAGCGGTTCGATAAACGAATGACGTCACCAATATCTTGGCATCTGCACGTAGGGGTCGCGTCATTCCGCAATTGGGACGAAATATTTTGCAAATTCCCCAGAGCATTCCTACGATGTGGAATTTTTCCCTATTTAATAGGGTTATTTGTTTTGTTTGTCGATATTGCTTACTTTCCAGGGGTGCGTTCC